GAATTTTATGATGAATAAAACTTGAGTTCAATAACTTTATGTAATACATTTTTTTCAAATTTTGGGCCCCAAAATTAAGGTGCATCTTATACACGGGATCGTCTTATACATGGGGAAATGCGGTATATGTAAATAAAAACCGCCCAGAACATTCTTGTGAGACCCAGATTCACTTATTCACTGCCTACACATCTCCACTTAGATATCTCAAAAGCATCCTAACACCTTTACTCTTTCTTCTATGTTGTACTTAATTTTCTCTTTGCTCATATAATCATCCATAAACACACACACCCCATGTGAATCCTTTTTTTCTCATACCCTAGGTTCTAATTCATCAATAAATACTGTTGGCTCCAACTTCAAAATATATCTAGAATCTGTGACCACTTCTTAGCAACTCCACTACTAAAGCCACTATCATCTTATCATCTTAGACCATCACAAAAGCCTCCTAATTGGTCAATGTCTACTTTCCACAAAATTACCAGAGTGATCATTTAAAAATTTAAGTCAGATCACATCACTCTGCTGCTCTAAATACCTCTATAACAGTTTCACAGAGCCCACATATTCATAAAATAAAATCCAAAGTCCTGGTTTGGCCGACAAGCCTTAGGTCTGCCCTTGGCTACCTCTCCAACCTCCTCTATACCACTCTCACTGTCAGTACACTACTCCAGTCAAATTGGTTTGTTTACTGATCCTTAATCATACCAAGCACCCTACTTGGTTCAGCCTTTGAATCTGCTATTCTCTCCGCCTGGAATGATCCTCCCCCAGATATCCACTTCCATCAGGTAACAGCTCAAACATCACCCTACAGACAGGCTTCCTTTAACATCCTTTATAAAACAGCATCCTTCAGGACTCTCTCCTTACCTAGTTCGCTTTTCCCTACCATCATATATACTTGTATATTATTTTACTATCTGCTTCCCTTATATTGCCTCAGTCTGACTTTTCTTTTGTACATAACTTACAGTATTCTTAACATGCCCACCATTCCCATTGCCCCATCCTCCCAAATATTCTGAGCTTTTTTATATTCATTATCCAGAATAATCAAAAGCCCATCTTCTCCATAAGAAATGTTAGCACAAACCAATGAGTCAGTTTTAACTTTTTCAATAACTTTGCCTTGTCTTGAGGCTATTAAATATGGCCTACCATTCCGTGACTTGAAGTGTTCAACTACAATTTCTTCTAATTTCTTTAATTTTGGATGACTATAGAAAAATTCTTTATCTCCTGAAAAAAAATTAAAAACCATCAAAATAATATTACTGTATTTTTCCATACTCAATTATACTAATGTACTATAATATCTTTTTCAAAATGAACTTGTTAAAACTTTTTCCTTTTTATTTAAACACTAAATAGCATCTGGATAGCACATAAGCCTTACAGTAAATTTTGAATTTTTATAAAAATTTCATTCTGAGAGAGAATACAAACAGGAAGCAAGAAGAACATAGAAGGGGAAAAAAATAAATATTTAGTAAAGCTATAAATCAGGTTTTGATAATTTTAAGAATTTTTTTTTATAAAATTGTTTTTTTGTTTTTTTGGGGTTTTTTAAGCTTTATTGGGGAACAATGTGTTTTTTCCAGGACCCATCAGCTCCAAGTCAAGTTGCTGTCCTTCAATCTTAGTTGTGGAGGGTGCAGCTCAGCTCCAAGTCCAGTCACCAATGTTTTTGATGTACTTGCGGGGAGTGCAGCCTACCATCCCACGCGGGAGTCTAACCGGCAACCTTGTTGTTAAGAGCATGCGCTGTAACCAACTGAGCCATCTGGCCACGGGTCAGCAGCTCAGGGCAGCTCAGCTCAAGGTGCCATGCTCAATCTTAGTGGCAGCGGGCGCAGCCCACCATCCCATGTGGGAGACAAACCAGCAACCTTGTTGTTAGGAGCACAAGCTCTCACCAGCTGAGACATCCTGCCACCTGTTGGCAGCTCAGTGGCAGCTCAGCTCGGGTGCAGCACACTGGCCCATGTGGGAATCAAACCAGCAACCCTGTTGCTCAGAGCACACACTCTAACCAACTGAGCCACCCAGTCAGTCCATCTAAGAATTTTTTTACTACCAGTAACAACTACTAACTTCTATTATTAATATACTATAAGCTGTTTGAATATATATTTATCCTAAGTTATTCCATTTTTTTCCTTTTTTTTTAAGCTGAGCCATCCTGCCACCTGTTGGCAGCTCAGCGGCTGCTCAACTTAGGCTGGGAATCAAACCACTGTTGCTCAGAGCTCAAACTCTTGAGCGAGCTCTTAACCAACTGAGCCACTCGGCCAGCCCTCTAAGTTATTCCTTTTTATTGTATTTTATTTATTTATTCCATTCTATTTATCCCTTTTAGCATTTAACAGCTCTATCACTACAGAAATAAGTATAGATTGATATGTGCTACAATGAAGCAAAATTTCAAACTCAACTTTGATGAAGAGGAAACAATATAAAATTTTTTTTAAAAAGCCGTACCTTTTTGGACAGTAGAAATGCGACCTGCTGAAGCACTACGTGTATGTGCAAACAGGCACACCAGATGATTATAAAGTTTCATGAAGTTCTCATTTCGGCTAAGTTCATTTTTTGCCCGAGTCATTCCTTCAGAAATTAAGAAAATGTTTTCCCAGTAAATCAACTTAATAGCAAAACTAATCAATTATGTATTAAAAATAAATTAATATTTAGCAATAAATGCAAATTTTTCAAATTTAAACACGAAAACCATCAACGTTTTCCAATTACACATTCACATATGTATTAAGAAATGGCTTTTTTCCAGAAATTTATCAAAAATAAAGAAATACGGCCATTTGTTACAAAACTATTTCATTGCTTTTAAAAATCCCAGCATTTTTAAGTAACCCAAACTGTTCAACATTTGTCTTTAGCCAAAATTATACATGTCAGTATTTCTTGAAATAATTTACCTTTAGTTCCATCCATAATTCCACAAAGGAAGAAATATAATGATCTTGTTCCCATTTGCTGCAATAATTCATAACCATGATATAAACTAATACAAAGAGCAAACTCTCCCTCGATTATTCCTTGTTGTACTCCCTAGAAAAACAAGCATATATCGAATTTAACCAGAGAGAAAAACGGAGACACACATTCCACGTAGCACTTAATTGGTTCTGTTAAATGTCATAGGATGTTGCTACGGAAAGGTGCCAATGTATTTTCCATATAAAATCTATTCCTTTATATTTTTTTCCTTAATTCAAAAGAAACTTACATTTTAAAGAGAATACGTGAAAGGGGGGAAATATCTACCATATGCTGTTTTTCTTTATAAGTAAATTATTAGCAGTATATAAATTCATTTGTCTTTCAAAACTACTTAATAAGCATCTATAATGTGTCAACCACTGAGCTAGATATTTGGGATACAATGGACAATAAGTCAGGTATGGGCCTTTCCTCACAAATGTTATGGCATCAGGACAAACATTTCATCAGACTGTTTAACACTAACAATTAACACCAAGCATACATGCCATAACAACATCTGACACCAAGGAGACACTGTTATAAGCATATTATTTGTACAGATCATTTCATCTTAACACCTAGGAAGTAGGTACTGTTATTATGCCGGTTTCATAGACGAAGAAGCTCATACATGCGGTAAGTAGTATAGTCAGTATTTGAACCTAGGACATTTGTCCCAGTGTCCTTGTGCTTTTAACCACTACTCTAAAGGAAAAATGAAGTATATACATTTTTTCTCTGGGAGCATACAACAGGTGTATCTATCTGATAGTTTTAAAAGATCATTGAGACTATATTTTAATTATCTTCCTTTACTAAAGACTATTATTCTCTAGCTTACATTTTTAGTGGCATTTAACATCAGTGACAGTCATTTTAAATGTTTCCAGAATAATGATAAATGTCCTAAAACGGCAACCTAATTACCTGAAAGGGTAAAACCACCTCTCTGTAAAATATAAAGTCATCAGTAAGACCAAGTTCAACAGTTTTAGATTTACTATTTAAAATTTCAATGAATCGTAAACTCCTAGCAGAAATTTAAAATCATTTTATCAAAGTTTAGTATATTATACTGCCATTTCACAGAGAAGTTTCCCTTAGTGGTTCCCCAGATATTATAGAATAAACTCCATATTTCTGGTGTAGCATTTACAGCTACTCCCATGTGGTCACACCTAGATTAACTATCATCTCTGCCTTCCTCAGTCCTTTACCTGAGCCAAACTGGCTTGCTCACTGTCTCCTTCATACCTTTGTTCAATTGCATCTGTTCTTTTGCACATGCGTTCCTTCTCAGTTCCAAGAAAGACTCAGTACCTTTTTGTGCTTGTGATCTGAGCTTCTCTTGACTTTGGACCTAGCTGGATGGATATGTTCCTATCCGCCTATTTTTTTCCTATGAAGATTAGAATAAGAAGCTTAACTGTGACGTTTCCTCCAACCTCGGTATCGAAAGTTAAGACAAAATGCTGAGTCTAAAAATTATTTAGGATCTACCCTCTCATGGCCCTTTGACTTTGAAAATCAGGAATGAACTAAAAGACCAATTCTTAATTAAAAGTTGTAAGATAAATTTATCTTAATTCAAATCATTAAACTATATTCCTATTAGATTTTTTTCATGCTTTTATAAACTATATAAATAATACCTGAATTCCAGATGAATAACAATATACAGAGGGTGCCAAAAATGTAAACACGTTAAGGAAACAACTGTATTAAAATTATGCTGATAGTAACCACTTTGAGCACCTCTTGTAATTGCAGAAGTCAAACGTGACTTGTATTCATCTTTTGTTATCATTACATATTAAGTATTACAGTTTTAATAGTTTTTTCCTTTCTTAAAATGTATATAATTTTTTTGGCACCCTCTGTATATACCAAAAAACAATCATTATTTACATTTCAACCTGGCTCTGCGTAAAAACTTAATCTAGCATCAAATTTTATTTTTAAATACCTACCACAATATTTGGAGATGGGTTTTTCCTGAATTGATCTCTTGCCAGAATTATCTGGTATTTTGTTAGATTGGGGATGTCCTTTCTCATCAAAAGATTTCTCTGAATCAAAGAACTGGCAAATGCTTCCAATATCTGCAAATTTCGAAGAAATTTAATTTAAGCTTGGCTTAAAGGCTTTTTTCCAAATATAATCATTTCATCACATACTAAAATAAGAGGTACATGTTAAATTATATATTAAAGTTTATCCTAAAATGAATTTTTAAATAAGCACAGAAAAGATAATGATAAAATTTTAAAGTACGTGGTATTTACCTTCAGATAACATCCATATGAGAGTCAGCACAACCATTTATTCAATCCAACCATAACTGAAGGACATATGAGTGTGTTTATCGGTTTATTTCTTAACTCCCCTCCCCTCCCCCAGTCTAAGCCCAATGAAAGGATGGCCTTGATTTCTTCAAGGTCTTGTTCTTGCATCTTCAGTGCCCAGAACAAGGTCCAGCACACAGGAAATATTTGTAGACTGATGACTAAATCAAAATACCTTGAGTACATTTAAATTCATTTGTTAATTCATTCTTTTAAGAAATATTTATTAAGCATCTACGATGTATCAAGCATTGTTCCAAATGCTGGGAATATTGTGGCCGAGACAAATGAAGTCCCTGCTTTCATAAAATTTACATCCAATGGAGGCAAGAAAAGAATAAAGGGAACAAAGAGAATTTTGATTACGATAAATTCATTTAAAAACCTAAATTAGAGAGTTTTTGAGGGGAAAGGGGTCATTATAAGTAAGGCAAACAAAGACAATCTCTTTGAAGAGGTAAGACTTGACATCTCAATGATAAGGTGTGTCTAGCATGAGAGGTTCTGAGGACAGAGCATTCCAGGTAAAGGAAACAGCAGAGACAAAAGGTCCTGATGAAGGAATGAACTTGATGCCACAGTGAAGGGACAAAAGAGACCTCCTGATGAAGACCTAATACAGCAATATGTAATAAACTATTTAAATTTTTGCTTGATTTTTATTTCCTAAAATAGGACTATTTTAGCACATTTTTATCTTTCCTCCCTACCAGCTTTGCTGACCACGCTACCTACAGAAGCACTCTAAAAATATTGACTAAATTCTTATGATATGTAATTATACAAATTACAATGTTTACATTCTTGTAAGTGGAATGATTTCAATCATAACCAAATGTATTTGTATTTAGGAGATAATTACCAGAAAGACTTTGCCATATCTTAAATTAATTATGCTTAGAATGTTGTTGCAAATAATTGAAAAACAAAAATGAAACCATATACCTATAAAACGTCTCTTTAAAAAAGGCTTATTAAAGATTAAATGATAGATGAATGTCTATTCCTACATTATAAACTTCTTCAAAACGTCATAGATGAAAACAACCACTATTCTATTTGCTCTCAATTCGGGTTCTGTGGGTAAGTATTCCAGCAGGTCACTGAGAGGGCCTATGAGCTAAGATACCACAGTAACAACGAGAAGTATCTCGTGTCCAGGTCTTGGTTTCTAAATACTGCTCTTCCACAAAATGAACAAGGATTCCTTGGAGAAATGGTTCATCCCATGGCTGTGACCAGGAAAATACCAAATGAGCATAAAATACTTGTAACGCCAGAAAGTTAAGAAGTGTTGCCTCCTCCCTCTCCCCAAAACATACATGTCTAAAGAACACAGGAGCCAGCTTAAAGGAGCTCTCAATGGCCAACGCTGGTACAAACTGAGCAACAAAATTAATAATGGTAGTATTGGACTTAACCCACAGAAAAAAATAAATATCCATGAGTCCACACTGATATAAAGAATTAATAAATAAATGTGGGAGAAGAAACAACTCTTCATTATAGAAAAATTCAAAAGAAATGAGGGAAAGAGGAAATACTGATTAGTAATTAGGCAAACACTACAGAAACAACTGTTGTATGTAAGAACCATCATTATGTGCTAAAATTGGTGGACAAAATATGTTGAGAATCAGGATATTTGCATATTCTTAAAGTATCTCCCCCTGGAACTCTCTATACTATTGCTGCAAATTTCTTGAAAGTCTAAAATTACTGCAAATGTTAAAAATAAAAAAGACTTCTGTCAGGGCACTGCATTGACAGCTTGTCTCTGCTCCTGATGTCTAGAGCCTCAGATGGATGGGGGCTAGACAAAATAGCTCAACTCAGGCCATATGTCTCTACCCTCAGTTCTAGCTAGTTATCTACAGGTTCTTTCTTCCTCCTCAACATGGCTAGCTTCTGGTTCGTCACATTCTATTGGTCAAAGTCAGTCACAGGGGCCAGCCTACAGCCTAGGGAAGAGGAAATGTTTCCTATGTCTCAGTGGGAGGGGTAGCAAAGAATCTGCAGCCACCTTTAACCCATGGCAATGAAGATATGAAAACGAGATGTTGTCCTAGCGTGACACTAGTTATATACTATAGAAAAATAATGCGCTACCTCAAATTTCTCCCACTGAAAGTGATAAACTAAGAAGTTTCTCAATAGCTACCATATTGACATTTGGACCAGATAATTCTTTGTTGTTGGGGGGGCTATTGCACAATGTTAAGCAGCATTCCTGGCTTCTATACACTAGATGCCAGTAGCAAGTCCACTCCCCGTACCCTCCAGATACAACAGCCATAAATGTGTCAAGACACTGCCAGATGTTGCCAGGGGGGCAAAATCACCTCCAGTTGAGAACCACTGCTATGTAAGGCATCAGGAAAGAACATATTGAAAATATATTTTCTAACAAAGAAACTTCTGGTTGAATCTGGATACGTATTATGGGTGTGCTCACTATGTGAAAAGTCACTGAGGTACACACGTTTATTATGTACACTCTGTTGTATATACGTGTGTGTGTGTCTGTGTATATGTGTATGGAGGTGTATTATAATGCAATTAAAAGGTTTACTTAAAAAAAAACATATAAGGCTATTATTGGCTTTAGAAATGGTCCATTGTTTTGTATTTCTTCTTTAAGTAACAGTTTGTCAGTACATTAAACATGGTGCTCATTTCAAAAATTTTAATTTCAAAGAATTTTTCAACATAGTAATTATATAAAATGATAACTATATATTCACACAGACTGTGTTAACTAAAATAATTACACTATCAATTAAAACTCTGATACATTACATTAAAACCCTGAATTGTGACAAAAATGGCTTACCTGTATATACGCCTTTTGGATCGCGGCAAGGTCTTCACCAAGGGGAACAACAAGCTTTTCAACTCGTCTTTCATGAGAGTATGGCAAAATATCTGGAGAATCTTCAGAACGAAGTTCTATCTGCCCAATCAGGAGGTTAGTAATAACCTGTTGCACAGCCTACATAAAATCAATTATGATTATAAATTATATTACTTGTTAAATATTTTACTTTGTCACTAACAGAAACAAAATAGCAGTAAAATTTTGAAACATTAAGAATTCATATAATTATTTTTAAAAACAAAACTACAAAGCATATCAGAAGTGGTTCAATAAGGGAATAAGGCTTTTGAAATCTTTCTTCCACTCAGCCCTTCATGCCAAGCATCCAAGAAATATGAACATTAGTAAAGGAGCTAATCAAATGTATTTTGCACTTTCCAATAGTCATGATATAGTCCATCAACATTTTATAAAGACTCGGAAAAAAACAGAAGTTTTAGATCAGCAAACTAAATCCCTAAAACATTATATAACAGTCAATTTTAGAGCCAAAAAAGTATTTGCCAGGAATCTTGACCCTGGCAAATACTTTTTTCCATTGATTTTTTTTTGGGGGGGGAAAAGCAGAGAAGTCTCGTTACTGTTAAAGAATACAAATGTATCTTAGGAATACTTTACAAATTGACTTGTAAGTAGAATATTTTTCATTTAAATCAATATATATGAAGTGAATACATTTCTTGGGCTAAATTTCATTCACCCAAAGCTTATAAAGGCCCTTAATTATAAAAATTTGGATACTGATACAAAAACATAAAACCTGTTTGTACAAACAACTACTATAGCATTAGACTACAGTACTGATAATGTGATTAAGAACTAAAAGGGGGGAGGGGGGAAGAGAAAAGAAAGGGAAGGAAGGAAGGAAGGGAGGGAGAGAGAGAGAGGGAGAGGGAGGAAGAAAGGAAGAAAGACTAAATTGTCGCCTTACAGCCGATTCTTAGACCACCCCCCCTGCATTAGCCTCTGACCCATTAGTCGAGAGAGTGCCTCGGAAAACTGAGGCCTGATGGAATGATATCTGTAAAGCTCTCTCGGGGGGCGGCTCAGCCTGACTGGGACCTGATGGAATGATATCAGCTGTCTCCCCTGGGAGGACATGTAATTATGTCTTGG